CTTGTATTTCTTTAGGTATTGGAATACTAAATACTAAAGGCACAACTACAAAACAATTTCAAGAAGAAAAAAGGTGGAAGATGGCAAAATAGACCAATGTGGCTTCATAAAAAGTTCAGAGAAGACCTGAAAACAAAAGGACATATATAGGAAGTGGAAAGAATGTCAGCTGCAAAGGAAGAGTATAGATAAGCAGCAAAGACTTGCAGGGATGGTGTTAGGAAAGCAAAAGCTGAGAATGAGCTGAGGTTAGTAAAAGATGCTAAAAGCGACAAAAAAAAACATTTTTTAGGTATGTGCATAGCAAAAGACAGAAAATAAAGCTGCTCAGTGTGGATGGAAAAATGATAACAAACAACAAGGAAAAGGCAGAAGTGCTCTATTCCTACTTCAGCTCAGTTTTCTCCCAAAAGACAATCTATGATTCTCCAGCCATATGTAAAGGACAAAGGAAGGGGATAGGGTTGCAGCTTGAGATTGATAAGCACATACTCAAAGAATACCATGCTACTTTGAATGTGTTTAAATCTCCAGGTTCCAATGACTGGTGTCCATGGATATTGAAAGAACTGGCTGGAGAGAAACACTGGCTATTATTTTCTTGAAATCATGGAGGATGGTTGAGGTACCAGATGATTGTAGGAGAGCTAATGTTGTCCCAATCTCCAAAAATGACAAGAAGGATGAACCAGTGAACTACAGATGTGCTACTTTGAATGTGTTTAAATCTCCAGGTTCCAATGACTGGTGTCCATGGATATTGAAAGAACTGGCTGGAGAGAAACACTGGCTATTATTTTCTTGAAATCATGGAGGATGGTTGAGGTACCAGATGATTGTAGGATAGCTAATGTTGTCCCAATCTCCAAAAATGACAAGAAGGACGAACCAGTGAACTACAGATGGTCGGTCTGACATCAATCCCAGTGAAAATTCTGAAGCAGATATGGAGGCAGTGACAGATTTTACTTTCTTGGGCTCCATGATCACTGCAGATGGAGACAGCAGCCACGAAATTAAAAGACACCTGCTTCTGGGGAGGAAAGTGATGACAAACCTCAACAGCATCTTAAAAAAGCAGAGACATCACCTTGCCGACAAAGGGCCACATAGTCAAAGCTATGGTTTTTCCAGTAGCGATGTACGGAAGTGAGAGCTGGACCATAAAGAAGAGTGACCACTGAAGAATTGATACTTTTTAACTGTGGTGCTGGAGGAGACTCTTGAGAGTCCCCTGGACTGCAAGGAGAACAAACCTATCTATTTTGAAGGAAATCAACCCTTAGTGCTCACTGGAAGGACAGATCCTGAAGCTGAGGCTCCAATACGTTGGCCATCTCATGAGAAGAGAAGACTCCCTGGAAAAGACCCTGGTGTTGGGAAAGTGTGAAGGCAAGAGGAGAAGGGGACGACAGAGGATGAGATGGTTGGACAGTGTCACCAAAGCTACCAACATGAATTTGACCAAAATCTGTGAGGCAGTGGAAGACAGGAGGGCCTGGCGTGCTCTGGTCCATGGGGTCACGAAGAGTCAGACATGACTTAACTACTGAACAACAAGCAGCCTGCCTAAACTTAAAAGAGACATTGTAGTAGAGTCAAACTATCAATTACAGAAAATCTGTCAGCAAAAGAAATTCCTCAAATGCTGAAGAACATGTTATTGCCACAATAGCAGCTATTTATGTCTCCTGTAGTTTGCAGAACAGCTTGCTCTGCTTTGCGGTTGGTCTTCAGGACACAAACACATTCTTCCTTTATAAATCTGATTTCTCAGGCGTGAAAGACTGCCTCAGTTACACCTCTTGGACACAAAGTTGGTTTCAGCTGCAGTGACCTATTATTTCCATGGTATAATTTTGCACTAATTGACTATTCAAATTATAACATATGTTAAAATAATCTGTTCTCAAAACGCAAAACATTAGGGAATTTATGATAGAATCTGTTTTTGTTTTCCTGTTTACTTAAAGAGCTCAAGTTAGCCTGATCCAACAAGGGAAACTCATGTGCATAAGCAGATTTCCGGGTGTGAAGCTGGCACAGGCACACAAGGAGACATGCATTTCAGTTTGCACCTCCCTCCATGTCACGATGCTCCTTTGCCCATCTCAGCAAATATTTCATGGGGAGCAGCCTCTCTTCCAGAGCAACAATTTGCTCATGATTGGAGCTGAACTTGAACCTAGTGTTTCTATCCAATAGTTCCTTGATCCTTTTCAATTAGGAATTGAACTTTGAAAGTATGAGGACGAAAGGAGAGGGCAGATCTTTTATTACCTCCTCAGCTTGAGACCGGCCCCATCAGAGGCATGCACATGCACTTCACTAGAAATTACCACCTTTTCTTCCCTTGATATATCTTGTCCACCCTAGTGACCATCCAGTTTTGGATGGGGCTTTGATGTACATCTCTGGAGAGAGACTGCAGGAGTAAATCAACACATGGTAATCTCACTGGAAAGAAGAAGTACATTTTAGAGCCCCCAGTTATACCATGTACCTGGTCAGACTGCTTCTCTCATTCTCTCTCTTTCTCAGAGTTGTCCGCTCTCTCGGGCAACAGCTCTCCAGGGCCTCAGGCAGAGAAATGTTTGTTACCACATGATACTTCACTCTTTTCCATTTGGAGGCAGCCAGCGATGACAAAGCAGGTGCCCTACCGCTGAGTTAAAGAGCCACATTTTGATTCCAGCTATGGAATAGTTATAGCAGTTGTGTTTGGAAACAGGGGAGGTCCCAGAATTTTGGGAAGAAGTATAACCAGGTGGGGTTCACACACAGAGATACTAGAGACAGATGTTCATTCAGATACTGCTTCTACAAGATACTAGAGACAGATGTTCATTCAGATACAGCTTCTACACACCCTCTATTAGTTTACTCCTCAGCTCAGCTGGGGACGAGAAAAACATTCTTCCCAAATTAGAAATGTCCCTACCTTTTGCTGTTTCTATCTTCTACTTGTCTCACTCTCACTCTCTTTCACTCACTCACTCACTCACACACACACACACACACACACAGAGAGAGATAGAGAGAGAGAGAGAGAGAGAGAGAGATTCCCATTTCAGCAGGAGGGGAGCATTATTTACACACAGGCATCATTCCCACACAGGCAGGGAACTGCTTCTTCACTTTTACTAAGGCAGGGATAGGCTGGCGAGAATAAACCTGGGCCTGAAATTAGCTGTTATCACATTTGTCCTACTGGGCTAGCTGCTACTGGTCAGTTCCTTGATTTGTCTGACCTGCCTATTGATCTGGTATTTGGTCTTCAGCTTGTCTGTGACTGCACCTCCTGCCTGTCTGGCTCCTGTGTTTACTCTGCACTTACCTCAGTGTGTCAGAATTGGACCCAAGCTACGATACATCGAGCTGCTAGGCCCCTGGGTCTCTAGCTCAACAGCACTCAATTATGTAGGCTGTACAATTTGGGCAGAAGTGGTTTGGGGTTTGAGATGCAATAGCAACCAGTAATGGGAGGACTGGGTTTTTCTTCTGCCCCCTGAGCTGGCTAAAAACCTGAATTTTCTTCACAAGTTAGTCGTTTCATGAACAATCCAGACAGGTTGGAGATTTTCTCCAGCAATAGATCTTGTTGGATACAATATATAAATGCAGTGGAGAACCATCTAAGGAAATAAAATGTTGGCAACATTTGGCTTAAAAATACATTCAGAGTTGTGCATGGCCTGTGACTTTTTTGATGTGCCTGTTATTCATTCTGTGTAGTTTAGGTACACTCCCCCACAAAAATGATACTCAGTAGAGACTGGAGCTCAATAGGTACGTAAAGGGTGAGCACTCTATATTCCATTTGCTTTGATGTTTGCTCACTGTACAATGCATCAGCATAAAAGAAACGGAGCTTCATAAAGACATGCCAGCAAGCACTCTCTGTTCCCCTGAGGTGCAGTCAATCCCAGGGCTTTAGATCCCAGATATAGATTTTCCTGACTGTGTGGGAATGATACCCAAGGGCTGGCCAGCCCCCTGCCAGCAAATCCTCTGCCTAATAGGATAAAGTCTAATGTTTTGACAGCCATCCCAGGTTCCAGCCAGTCAGGGTACAGCGTGGTGATTAGAGTCCACCTCTCTACTTCTTACCGCTGGCTCCATCTGTCTGGGCTCCATCTGTGGAAAATGAGCACGCAGGCACACGGCCAGGTGGCTCCAGAACCGCCGAGCGGCTGATTTTAACCTGTCTCCCCATCTGTTCACCTTGGCCATTAACTGAATAATCCCCAGAGCATTTAAAGGAATCCATTTGTGCTTTTACTCCTGTCTCTGTGTTTGTGGTATGTCTGTGACGTTTTTCTCTCAAACTGTAAAAACCTTGATTTATTTATTCCTGTCACAATGATGGAGGAGGAAAAGAACAATGCACTGACATGAGCTGGCAAAAGTCTATGGAGGTCCTCCTCCTCCTCAGTGAGAGGTCTGGCACATCAACTGAATGAAAACTGGCATTTGAGTCATTAACAAAGAGATGCAGGTGGGGCTGCAATACACTGAGAGGACAAATGGTTTGCATGTGGGAGGCCCCAGGTTTAATCCATGGGATTGAAAGGTGTGTGTGTGTTTTTAAAAAGAAAAACAAATCAGGGAGCAAGTGATGGCTACTCCCAAAGATGATCTGTGGCCCAACAGATGTTCCAGAAGGGCATCTGGTTTGGTAGATATATGTCAGGAAGTGCAAGAAACTGTACATTGTACTTTTATTTAAAAACTAAGAAAACCAGATATCTTGCAACATACACTGCTCAAGTAACAGAATCCACTACAGGTAGTTTGAACTCCATGCCTTTTGTATTTACAGCTAGACTTTTGTAATGCTACATCCTTTCATGGTTTTAAAATATATTTTGTGCATTTGGCTTTATTTCATGAAGTTTTACAAATTATATTTTGAATTTATTTTTTGAAGTCTTACTAAGGATGAGATGGTCCATAGCAGTGAGTTATACTGGACTACAAGCCGAAGAATCAACAAGATGACAGAGGAGCAAATGAAAGTTTTATTCAATCACAAGTGATTCATTTTCAGAAACAACTTATTATTCATCCGGAACTCTCCTGCAATCCAGGCAGGTCCTGAACATCTGATCTAATTTATTTTTCTTTTTTCTACTTCAGATTAATTCCTGAAGGTCTGCACCCGCCTTGTTCACTTAGTGGTCCCTCTGATTGTCCCCAGGATAGAATCATTCAAGTATTGTTCATGGTAGTGTTCAGCTCTGTTGTAACAAAATACACCTTTTTGCAACCCCAAAACCAAGGCGAAACAGATTCTGACACAGAAATGTTTGTACAGAGCAGAATAGTGAAATTGAGGAAGGTTCTGTAATTTAGACAGAACTTATCCTGACAAAGATATTAGGAACAGAGATAGTAAAGAGCTCTACAGCTGGACTGGGCCTGAAAGACTGTTTGGATGGGAGACAGAGAGGCTGTCCCTTTCATTTCATCAATCTCAGTCAACCCAAAGTACAAACACTGTTGACTTTTATGTCCCTTTGATAAAAGGAAGATGGAAGTATTAAAGTTATGACTGAGTGAGGGGCAGGAAGGATAGGTGAATTTAATGCCAAAACACATCTGGCCAAGTGCAATCCAGATACCAACACGGGCGTGTAACATCTTTATACGGGAATTATGAGTAAGTGTGACCTTCTGCAATTCATGGGAAAAGAAGGGAAAAAGAGAGGTGGTTAAGCTGGCAACGTACCTGATGAAACGTGAAGCAATGGAAGTATTTTGGATGCACCATCATCCACTTGTGAACTCTTTATTTCTGGAACTACCAGACATACCCAAAAAGTTCACAGTCCCTGCTCAAATTGTTGAAAGAACTGAAAAAAAGAGATTCTCAGAACCAGAGGATAAATGAGGTCATTAATCTGGACCAGAGAGAGAGAGAGAGAGATGGTGAGGTCATCAATTATGGTGGGTTGTTTGGGAAATCCAGTTTTTTTCCTTCACCCCAGGCTCTTCAAGAAGTCTAGAAGACCAAGGTGCCACTCCTCTGGTTTGTCAAGGTAACAGGCATGGCCTGCCCCCTTCATCAGCATCACCTTGTGATTAGATAAGTTCTTCAAGTTGTTCAAGCTCACTTCACCCATCAGAGCATCCTGGTCCCCATACACGATGAGTGTTGGTGTCTAAGCACAGGAGAGAAGAGAAATCAGGTGTGATCAAGTGAACAAAGGTAAAATCCTGCCCACATTGGGCACACACTTAGTGTGTGCTAAAAATACAATTCAAGTAAAAGCTAGGGTTACAGGACGCCAACGTACACAACCTTCACGTATCTGCTGAATGTAAACCATATAACTGGGGGAGGGCGACCTGTTCCTTTTGCTTCTCTCATGATACGGTGTCATTCATAGAATCCCAAGACGGTAGACATGGAATAAACACGGTCATCCAGTTCAACCCCTGCTTATCCAGGAAATCCATAAGTAAAGTATCCCTTAGAGACAGCCGTCCACCCTCTCTTTAATAATCTTCAGTGAAGCAGAGTCCCCCACCTTCGCAGGCAGTCTGTTACTACATTGAAGAAGCCATGCAGATGTCAGCTCCTTCTGTGGTTACCCTGGAAATTATATTAGTCATGTACCTATCTTCCACCTACATACATGTGCTTAGATAGAGGTAAGAGGGATAAAGTGGGGAAGATCCAATGCCCATCTATTTCTTTCATAGTACACAGCATAATCATTTCCATCCTTCTCTGCTCATGAGCACAGGAGCAGCACTATTGCCTGTTTTTTTTACATTCATTTCCATCCTTCTCTGCTCATGAGCACTATTGCCTGGTTTTTTTTACACACTGACTTGTACACAGGATAGGAGGGGTGGAGGGAGAGTGTGGTGAAGAGCCCTTAACCCCTGCATGTTCAGTTCAAGGTAACACTACTTAAATCCAACATGTTCTGTGTAAAAACTCTCTGGGAGGTTTGGGGAAAGTATAGCCATCTATCAAACGGAGCTATTTGTCCACATGCAGGCTCACCATATAGGCTGATAACAGGACTTTCTGCTTGCCACACATGGACTCCAATTTCATGTACTAAATGTGCGAAGTACACATGAACCCTATATTTCTTCACTTTGTGCCAAATGAAAAGTGCAGTATACTAATAGGTTCACTTTAGGTTCATTTGGTGGTTCTGTGTTGAACACCCAAATAACATCATAAATATGCCTGATTGTTACAAGTTAATATTTTCCACTTCACAATACAAATGAAAACATCTAGCAAGGAAAAACAGACGTCTGCATTGGCAGAGCTTCAGAATACCTAGAGTAGATGTTCACAAATGTAGCAGAAATACAGGGAATTCCCACTGCTGTCAAAACTATTATCCTAGAGTGTAACTGGTTTTTTTGTTGGTTTGTTTGCTTTCTTAAATGCCTACAGGTCATATTTGCAAGTGCAAAAGGACACACTGGAGACTCATATTACTGAGAAATCTCTATAAGCATCAGACTAGCGTCAGGAGGCCCTGGCAAAGCAGTGTTTTAGCATTTCAGGAAGGGTGACCTGCAGGTTATGTAGGGTGGCCACTGTTCCAATGTCAAAAAGGAGGACCTTTTCAATTAAATTGGTATATGCCGATTTAAACGAATGTATGCAAATATATCACAATTAGACATTATTAATGTAATTCCATAGAAAATGTGAAGGTGTGATTGGCCCCCTCACCGTCCTGTTCTTCAGGAAGCAAATTAAAACCTGGCTTTTTACCACTGCCTTTTAAAATCTTAATTTTGAAGCAGTTTTGTGACAACTGCATGGTTTGTCGTCTTGAATTTTTGTAATGCTTGATAGACTGGGATGTGTATGTGTTTAGGATGGCCTTTTGCTTTTGTATATTTACTATTTCAATTTTCTCCATATATTTATGTTATATTCTTGGAAGCCACCCAGAGTAATGGCTTGTCCACTAGACGGGCAGGGCATACTCTTAAAAAACAATAAATAAACAAACAATCTAAGTGTAAATATACTACTGCTTTAATTCACAGGGTCACCATAAACTGGAGGTGACTTGGTGGTACGTAAAAACAACAACAAACATTACGGCTCCCTATACTGCACAAAACTGTGACCTTGGGACACAGTATTGAGATGAAGATGGGACAGAAATCAAATAAACGAATATGACATAGTGTTTAATAACTCCCTGAATGCCCTCTGCCTTGCACTTTCTGCAGCTTATTGGAAATGAATATACGTGGAAAGAAAACCAACAGAAGTCATGGCAGTTTTGCTAAAATGCCTAGCTTGGCAACAATCAGTTATTGCAAAGGAATGATCTGAACGGTACTCTCAGAATGTCCTCTCCTGGGACTGACCTTACATCTGAAGTTCACAGAGTATTCCATGCCATATCCTTCCTGCCATCCATTTATCCCTCCTTTGAAAATCACCCCTTCTCAAACCATTTTATTTTAAAAAATGAGAGAGGGTTAGTTATATACATTTACCACTCGAAGCCTCTACTTTCCCTGTTCAGCCAGAGAAACTCACTGGGTTGGGGGGGGGTAGAGTGGCCACTTATACACCAACACTCTTCAAATGGAACACGGTCCCCCCCAAAGATGGAATATGGCTACATGCCGGGCCCTCCCAGCACCTTTAATTTCTCTGTGCTCCCTTATATCCTCAAATAAGAAAAAATCTGAAAATAACCTCTTTAAGGAGGCATTTTTCAAAATCAGAAGTGATGTCTGGCCATCTCTGGTTTTGAAAAAAACTACCCCCCCGGGCCTAAAATGAATTGTTGCTAATACAGTGGAGACTTGCTTTACGATTGCCCCACATTACGATGAAACCGCATTACGATTGCCCCGCATTACGACGATCGCAAAACAATGGTCTGAATGGGGTTTTTTCGCTTTGCGATGATCGGGACAGATTCCTCACTGCACAGACATCGAAAAGGGATTTCAATGGGCTTTTTATTTTCACATTATGACGTTTTCGTTCTACAGCAATTTCGCTGGAACGAATTAACATCGTAATGCGAGGCACCACTGTACACAGCAAACCTGTCTGCCTCCATGCCTCTCAGAAGGAGTTAACTGTCTTTTTTTTCATTTTTTAAAATGTTGCTAAACATTAAGTAATTTTCAGGCTTCTGCAGCTACATTTCTCAACCCCTGGATCTAAAGCTGTACTCTATTCTGACTGAAAAAACAGTAAAGGGGGTTGGGGGGGGGAAGACGTTCTCACATCTTCTTGGATTGAACTAAGGAGACTAGTGCAGATACGAAGAAATTGCCCCATCTCTCTATTTTTATTTTTATTTAGTATACACACACAGCTGCTAAAAAGAGAAAAGTCCACTGCTCTCCCTCCTGTCTATGAATTTAGGCCTGTTTTGCCAGAATTGTGCCCTCATTCGCGAAAATGTGGCGCGGACCTTCCGGCGGCCATTTTGGAACCGCCAATCAGCTGTTCTCCCCGGCTTTGTTATGCGAAGATCGCTAAGCGAATCGCTTAGCGATCTTCGCAAAGCAAAAAAACCCCATAGGGGCCATCGCTGAGCGAATGCTCCAGCGATGGCCCAGAGTGCCTCGTTAAGCGATTTCATCGCTCAGCGAGGCACTCGTTAAGCGAGGCACCACTGTACTCTATTCTGACTGAAAAATCAGTAAAGGGGGTTGGGGGGGAAGACGTTCTCACATCTTCTTGGATTGAACTAAGGAGACTAGTGCAGATACGAAGGTGTAGGAATTGCCCCATCTCTCTATTTTTATTTTTATTTAGTATACACACACAGCTGTTAAAAAGAGAAAAGTCCACCGCTCTCCCTCCTGTCTGTCTATGAATCTAGGCCTGTTTTGCCAGAATTGTGCCCTCATTCCAAACGAGGCAGCTGGTGGTGCCCCCTGGTGTTCCACTGAGGAACCCCATCGACATTTTACTACAAAATCTGTGCCTGCTGTTACAGTCCCTGGTGCCGAGCCTACTCAGCTTTCTTCACACTCTTCTGATATCCCCAGCTGCATCTCTCCATTATCTCTCAATTTCTTCTCATTACTTTTTGTTGAAACAGGATCTCTGCCCTTGTTTTGACCTCAGAATTCCCTCCCTTCTCTAAGCGTAGCTGTCAGACACACATACTTGGATGCTGGCGTATTGTGAGGCCGAGAATTTATCGGTGCAGATGGGTGCCACAGGAATGTAGGCCTTGAGCAGAGGGTTGTGCTGGAAGAGGAAGGGCAGCGAGTACATCCCGCTGAGAGATGGGCTGATCACCACCGCCTGGTCGAGCTGCAGGGCCTCAAAGACAGACTTCAAGAAGCCGCCTGGGGCTGGTTCGCCGACGGGGGCCGGGGCAGCAGCATCCTTAGAACGGCCTAACCCTGGAGCACAAGAAATGGAAAACATCTCGTGTTAAACGTATTCAGCATGTAAAGAAGTACCTGAACTCGGGCATAGGGTCTCACAGATAAATATCCTGTACGTAGCTAATACAAGAAATGGAAAACATCTCGTGTTAAACATATTCAGCATGTAAAGAAGTACCTGAACTATATCTTGTACATAGCTAAATTTCAAGTTTCGGAGTGGATTCTTTGTAAAAAACGAGACAACCCAGGAGAAGAAAAATAGGGAATGACTTTTGACACAAACTAGGTTAAACTGCAGAAGCCTCTGTGCTGCAAGGTCAGAAGACCAGCAGTCATAAGATTGAATCCATGCGACCGAGTGAGCTCCTGTCGCTTGTCCCAGTTCCTGCCAACCTAGCAATTCGAAAGCATGTAAAAATGTGAGTAGATAAATAGGTACCACCTCAGTGGGAAGGTAACAGTGTTCTGTGTCTAGTTGCGCTGGCCACGTGACCACGGAAACTGTCTTCGGACAAACGCTGGATCTATGGCTTGGAAATGGGGATGAGCACCGCCCCCTGGAGTCGGACACGACTGGACTAAATGTCAAGGGGAACCTTTACCTTTACCTAGTCCTTGAGCGACTGGGTTGTACAACTTCTAGCTCTGGTAGGGAAGAATCATTGGTTTACATTTGACATTTTTTTTCACCCTGGGCCCAGAGGATTCACCTCTCCCTCTCATAACACTAGAAACACAACACCCCCTGCACAAGCCAATTAATTTAAGGTTGGAAGATTCAGGAAATAAGAAAGAAAGTACCTTCATAGTCTGCACCGTCTAACTGTGGAAGCTGCTGCCACACAACATACCAAAAATCTCCAAAATGGGACAGTTTGAAAGGGGGAATCAACCAAATTCATGGAAGATAAGGCTGTCAATGGCTACCAGCGATGGTAGCTGTGTATTATCTCCAGTATCAGAGACAATATACCGCCGACTCCTAACAGCTGGGCAACATATACAAGGAGATGTTATTGCACTCCTGTCCTGTTTAGGAGCTTCCTCTAGGCATCTGGCTGGGCGCCTGGGAACAGGACACGGGGGGGGACGCGGGTCTTTATTCTGACTCAGCACAGCTCTTCTAATGTACTTAAGTATTAGAAAAGCAAGTATGGTCTGGAAAGGTACACGACAGCATTGCACTGCTACGATTAAGCAGGTTTCAGTTTGTACAGCACATGAATGGGGAAGCTGTCTTTTAGTCCCACGGGAACCCCACTGAAGTTTCCCAATGGAAACAGATGAATAAAATATGTAAACCATAATGATGCAGGGATTTGCATGACTGGGAGCTGACTACAAGTGGCTCTCTAGGCCAAGAATGATCACCACAGGTTCTTGTCTGTACTGTATCTATGCTTTTTCATATATGGATGTGACTCAATCATATTTAAACATCTGCATAAGAAAGAGTCCTGAGAAGTAGACCATTATGCAGTTGTTTTCTTAACCATCGGACTCCTTTCAGCTCCAGAGACCATCTACCTCTGTACATTACCTGCTGCAGAACGTAAGAGAGTGCTGCTCACTCGTATTCTGTTAGGCCATCATGTGAACACACCTTCGGTCTCGTCCATTATGGCTCTTTTTATAAAGGGGGAAGCCATCATCTTACACTCTGAGTTACACCTGCACTGGTGCTCTCACTGTCCGCTATTTAACCATCCATGATCTGATCTCTAAGGTAATCTCACCCTTCACTTGAGACTGAAGACATACCAGGCAGGTCAATAGCTACTGCACGATATCCAGCTTCCGCCAGCTTGGACAAAGTCTGCAAATTGAGCCAGGTCTCTGATGAAAAACGAATCCCATGAAGCAACAGGACAGAAAGCTGAGGAGCCTGCTGAGCAGGCTTGGCTTGCCGGTAGAATAGGGTCTGCCCATCCACTGTAATAGTACCCTCTGTAACATGCGTAGCAGCCATCACTGCAGAATCGTTCCTTCCAGGAAACCTGAAGGCATGAGCATTGAAGAACAAGAAGCAATAAGAAAGAAAAGGAAGAAAAGGAATGCTGGGCTTCCCTTCTTAGAATGTGAGAAACTAGACTCTTTTGCCTTATGCTAGGAACATGTAATGCCTATTCCAGGTTTCACAGTAAGTTCTTCACTTCTGATTTTGTGCTCATTATGGATGTCCAAGCATCAATTTAAAAAAAAAATTACCTAGAAAGGGAAGGGGAAGCACATATATCATATCCAGTGTCATCCTTTCAAAATGTACAACAATAGGATTAAGAAAAGACTGGGTCTCCACTCTGGTGTATTTTGAAGGGGCATATGAAATTTCTATGTGATACCCTCCTGACACTTGAAAAATGACATATGCCTTGCCCCCGTGTTACCTGCAGTGGTGTTTGATTAGTTTGTTTGATTAGTAAGGACAATGGCACAGTCTGTCACTCAATTTAGATTTCCCTGAATTTAGTGAACTACACTCCACTTAACAACTGGTGATAGGGAATGGATTTTGTCAGCAATAATATACAGTGGTGCCTCACTGGCACCACTGTATTTTATTTTTATTTTTATCTCAGTTCTGCCTTTCTGTGTAGGACCAGTACAGAAAAAGCCAATACAGTCCCTCATGGAAGGAAGTTCCATCGTCCGGGAGAGCTGGCGATGGGCCTTCCTTTGGACTCTCACCAACCACACTTATGCAGGAGTCAGGGCTGAGAAAAAGCTTTCTCAAGGTCTACAGAGGCTCATATGGGAAGACACAGTCATTCTGATATTTGTCTGTCTGTCTGTCTGTATATATATACCACCCATCTGGCAGCCAAGGCCACTATCGTTAAGAGCTTCTCTGTGTCCAATTAATACAAAATGGTAGCTTGGTTATGAATGGATGATTGAGGGTGTGATCCCATGCAGAAATAGATTGCCATTTGTGGAGCAGTCTGGTGTGATCCATTTCATGGCAATCACACAACATACAAGGAATTGTGCTCTAGCTCAACCCCAATCTATGCCCAAAATGGGTCTTTTTGATCCAGCTGTAGGGTTACTACTTGGAGTGTGTGTGGCTGCCCTGGAGCCATTTCCTGGCAGACAGAAGGGTCGCTTTAAGGGAGATCACTTTCCAAGGGGAATGGAAGTGCACCTTTCCAAGTGATCACACACTGAGATCCAAGACAAGTTCTTGGTACAGATGAAAATTGCTGTAGCTAGTTTATCAATACAGACCAGCATAGCTGTCTAGATTTTTCACCTCTGAGGTTGCAATGGGTATTGTCACAACAAGAAACCCCATTTCATGAAATTTACTATTAGTCTGATTACATTTGGATAGAAAAATATAAAGTGGTCTTCAGAGGTGGAGATGCTGGAATGAGCTTCAGGGGCATGGCATTTAAAGCAGAGAACGTAGAAAGGATTCCTATTTTATCTGGAATATATATTCCGGAGGCAGCCCCCACCAAGGAGACATTCACTAGAATCTAAAAGATGGTGGCAGAGCATGTTCGTGGGGCTTTGTCTCCTCTCACTGCTGGAGATTTTTCCCACTTTAAAAGAATTCTTGTTGCTCCATAGTGGACAACAGGTTGGCCAAGCAGAGGACAGGACCTGCTGAGCCACAGGTAATGAATGTACTCGTGAATGGGCTATCAAGTATGAAAAAAACCCCTCCCCAATATTTCTGCCTTCTCGCGTCCACGTACAAATTTGAAGCTGTAAATCCCTAGAAGGACACGGGGTGTGTGGGAAGAGGAGAGTGACCACCTCGCATTTGAGTTTGTAGGGAAGGGAGAGGGAACATTTTTTTTCAACTGAAGACTGCATTCCCTGATGGTTAACATTTCGGAAACTCCCTGCCAGAAATTAGCAGGGCCAAACCCAATGGTAGGCGTGTTTACTCTACATTCTCTTATCCACGCTTTGTGGAGCATGGAAGGAGAGTGTTAGTTCACGGCATGTGGGTCTGATGACAGTACACATGGATGATGTTTCTTTAGGGTCACACAGATGGATGGCTGATTTCAGAGCACACTGGAATAATGCCCGGTTTGGAGGGAGAAGCAGCAGGCAGCTCTGGCCTCCCTACGATCAGGCATTCTCATGGAGTAGCCAGCTCGCGACAGATGACCAAGTCGCCACTGCTCTTCCGCCACGCAAGGCGTCACGCCAGATCAAGGCAGATTCAAGTGAGGATTGGCATGGGTGAGTTGGGCTGCAACTGAGGCAAAGTCCCATCCCAACTCTTTCCATGCTGGCCTCAGATCAGACACACACACACACCCCTGCTGCCAGGAATCAAGGGTCCAGTTCCCAAACGCACAGAAAATCAAATAATGTGCGTTCACGTACGAACCAGCCCTTCTCTTACTGGTACACAAACATCAGGAGGGTGAAGGAAGACGAATGATCCAATTCATCATCTGGAAATTCAGTTCTTAGAGACAAATCAATACAAATAAACTGTAAGTGCAGGAGGGCACCAAGCCAGCTCAGGGAGTTTCCATGGGTAAGTCGTGTAATTGGTTTTGATCGGGGTTTTATCCTGGGGAGGGGGGGCATGTTGAAAATGCTGAGTTCCCCTCTTCAGCGTTCACGGAGCGTAGTTCTCTTGCAACAGAATAAGCACAACAATCCGTTTAAAAAAAAAAAAAACTGCACTCAGGCTGCCAGTCCTGAACAGAATGGTCTTTTTTGAAAATGCTGAGTTCCCCTCTTCAGCGTCCACGGAGCGTAGTTCTCTTGCAACAGAAGAAACACGTCCGGTTTCAGTGCTTATGGAAGGAGGCGCGGAACTCCGTCCTACTTTTTTTCTGTTTTTTTCCCCTAAACGCCTGCTTGTGGAAGGGCAGAAAAGATGGGGCTGGGCTGGTTTTCTATGGGAGGCAGTTTCAGTGTCTGGGAGCGATGACAGAGAAAGGCCCCCTCCTTTGTCCCCACCAAGCACACACCTGTGAGGGTGGCGGCACCAAGAGAAAGGTTTCAGTGCTTATTATGGAAGGAGGCGCGGCTGCCGGGCGGGTTCAGATCTCTGTCCTTGGTTTTCCCCCCGTTTTTCTAAACATCTTTTTTCCTTCTGGCACTCACGCCTTTGCCACTTAGGCGGCGTATCCTCGCCTCGGTGTGTTCCCCGGGACTCGCAGGCGATGGGGAGAGGGTCACCCCAGGGGCAAGGCTTCACTCGATGGCGCAAGCCGCGGGGTCAGTGCGTTTCTCAAATCGCAGGGCGACGATGGGGAAAACAAAACAAACCGATCGGATCCACGGGAAGACTTGCTCTGCCCGGGGTCCTTCCTTTTTCAATGCAACTGGGGGCACCCGATTAGCGGAGGGGAGGGGAGGGGAGGGGGGCCAGGAAATGAAGGCAGTTTCGGAAACCCGTTTCCCGAGAGTTGCAAAGGCCCCTTGATGCAGCGGGTGGAAAGCTGTCCCGGGCATAAACCACGAGCGAGAAAAGAAGGGGGCAGGAAAAACTTACCCACGTTGTCCCTTTTGCAAAGCCCCAACGTTAAACCACAACCCGAAAGATCCGCGGCTTCTCTGAGCTTCCGGGGTCCAAAGTCCCTAAACGAAGTCTGACGAAAGAGACCTCGAAGAGAGGAGGGGAAAATTACAACCAGGGTTCCGAAGTTTCATTTCTAAGCCAAAGTTCACACGAACGCCAGCGACCCCTAGTGGATGTGAACGGAATCCTCTCGACACCTAGACGCTACAGGCTTTCTGATTTTTTCAGGCGTTTAAGCGTACAGTATACTATATAACTACAGTACCAACTGATTGGTTCAAGATTGGGAAAGGAGTACGACAAGGCTGTATATTGTCCCCCTGCTCAT